GCTGCCCGTGTAGACCATGTTCTCTATGGAGATTTCTTTAAAAATGTTGCCTCACACTTGAAATGGTCACAGGTGTTTAAAGACCCTTGATCGTGGCTCTTCTGTCTTCCCAGCGGCCCCTGAAGTGTCTCTGAGGGAAAGATGTTTGGTCCCTCTCGTTGTTATGTGGTCATTCCCCTATTCCTCTTCCCCTCATAAGCCCAAACAAATTATAACAGCCAGAGCGCCGAAGCAAGGCTGCTTACTGTGAGAGAGCACATGGCTTCTGCCTTGTGTGGCCTGCATCTCCTGGGACATCCGTGCCAGCTTGACCCCTCCGGGGCCACGTACTTTGTGGAAAATCGTGCCCAGAGAACGGAAGTCCCTTGTCTCCCAAAGCGAGGCCCTGAGTCTACCTGGTGGCTCCCTGCTCTGCAGCACCAACGGTCCTGGGCATGAGTTGAAGCTGGTGGTGGGCACTGTGCCCTGGGACCCCCAGCCCTGTGCCATTTAGTCCCCACAGTGGTCCTTCAAAGTCAGTTCCGTTACTGTCCTCACTGTAGGGTGGCGGCATCAGGAGGATGGAGAGGATTGCCACCTTCCCCATGATACCACAGCCGGTGAGTAGAAGAGCCAGAATTTAAGACGACATAATAAAGAAAAGGCAAACCTCTCTCGGGAGACATGTTTGTGATGAATAAGTACAGGTCTCTTAGCCTGGCCAAGTCCCTTTGTCACGTAGGGCCGGTAGACAGCAGTGTGTATCACCGATGGATGAGAAGACAAAATGCCTCACCCACTTTCACCTGGGCAGAAAACGCTCCTGGGAATCGGACCTCATGTGTGCGTGTCTGTATTGGAATCAGTGTGACAGTGTATTTACGTCTCAGACTAGTTTCTATGCTTCTCCCACGAGCTAGACATCACTTATTTTAGGAGGGATTTAGAGGGAGAAGCAGCACTTCTCTCCTTGGATTTAACACTCCCCTTTGGGCATACATTCATTCATTCATTCACTCATTCATTCTCAAATCCTTTTGAAGCACCTGTGGTGATCCAGGCCCTGAGCGTGGGACACGCTTACATCATGGACACAACTACTGCTCCCGTGAAGTTCACCATCTAGCTGGGAATTAAAACAGTCCTAACCCTCGTCTTTCCAGGGGAAGACCCCGAGGCCCGGCGACTGCGGACAGTGAAGAACATTGCCGACCTGCGGCAGAATTTGGAGGAGACCATGTCCAGTTTACGGGGAACTCAGGTTACACACAGGTATCTGAAGTGTGAATTACTTTACTGAACTAGCTGGTAACTTGATGGTCACACGGCTTCTCCTGTGTTTGTTCGTGCCACTGAGCTGGCTAATAATGGAATAAATAACGTTGATTGCCAAATGTGCTGGGATTGACAAAGAATGCCATGCAGCGGGCAGAAGGGAAGTGTAAGTAGCAAGAATTAGTATGGAAAGATTCCTCCCCAAAGTAGGAGGCTGCTAAGTCCATTCAGCCAGCTCCATTTAAATTCCACTTTGCGTGCATTTCCCAAAACTACGCTGTGCTGTCGAAACGAGCAGGTGAACTGCGTTTGACCTGAGCGATAAAGTGAATAACTCGAATTCCTGCCCCGTCTTCTGATAGTCGTTACTCTGTAATGTTGTTAGTCATGCACGCGTATAAGACATGTAAGGTCACCTTTATAAAAATGCATGGTCGTGTTTGAACAGTGATTTTGTTGGATGAAATCTAGCATTACCTTGGAAACATTTATCAGGTTGCTTTCATTGCTGAGCAAGAAGCTGAAAAGGATGCAACCCTAGGACACCCTTCAAGCTTTTGGCAGGATGGCGATTTACAGCCTATGTCTGGCTTTGGTAATCAAGGCCATGTCCTAGGTACCCCCTCCCCCCCTGCGGCCTCATCTCCCAGGCTCTCCTTTGCTTCTCAGCTTCAATCACTTTGATACGTGAACTAGCAAGGAGACAGCAGGGTTTCCCTGCTGCCCGCTGTTTTGGCAGCTCGAGGTGAAAGCACCGTGGGTTCCATCTTAAATAAGACCAGGGCCCAAACTTTAGGGGGACCCCAGCCTACGGATAGTGAGGCCGCTTGCAGCAGGATCGGAGGGAAACAAAAGCAGCGGAAGCACCAAACAACTTGATTCTTCCAGAGGAGAGTGAACTTGGCGTTTAAGTTCAAGGGGCCCCTTAAGCCTTTAGCTTTCTGATTGCATGGGGCCACACATTGGACCCTGGGACTCTGTGATTAGATACGAAATGCCCCTAAGTTTCCACCATAAGCACTGAAACGGACTGACTGTGGGTTCCTTGGCGTGGACTAGGATGATGATGACAGTAGGGACAGCTCGGTGGTTTCTCCTGCTTGCAAGACTCCCGCTCGCTCTGCGCAGTGGGAGACCCCACGCAGCTCTGAGGAGGTGCCCCGCCTGTCTTGACTGTGTCGGGGCTGAAGCACAGGGGACTGCAAAAGAGTCTTCCCGGTGCCAGGGACCCATGCACTTTGGTTTATTCCCCAAGTGATGTGATCTCAAGCCTAAGCACGTACCACTCTTTCCAGCCCTTTGCCCCAGGTTTAGTTGTCATTTGGGGCAAAATGTAGAAGCCAACATGTGGGGGAAATGAACCTGAGAGAGTTAGAAGGTCAAGGCTGCCCCTGCCTGCTCGGTCAGGAGAGGCTGAGGGGAGGAGGTCTGGTGTTAGGAGCTGCACGGGGGCAGGTGCGTCCTGCCCTGGGAAAGGGGGAGCTGTGAGGCAGCATCCCAGCGGGGGACCTCTGTGCCCATTGCTATCAGGGCAGCATTTTCCATGTCCCTTCCTGAGTTAGAAAGACAATTCCAGTAGCTAAGGTAACTGAATCAAGGTCATGGTCATGAGTGCCTTGTGCCGTGTTTTGGTGAGAACTGCCTTCACTGGGCTTTCCCGAATGCTGTGTGGGTGTGCATCTTCCTGTGTTCTGTTCTAACAGAGGGTGGTCCATGGGCACCTGGTGTTGATCCTGTCTTGTGTACGGGGAATCGTTCATGATTTTCAAAGCATTAAAGAACATATAAACTGCAAAGGATTCTAGGCGCAGTGGGCTCTAACCCAAGGTGGCCTTTATGTGTGCAGCACATTAGAAACCACATTTGACACCAACGTCACCACGGAGGTCAGCGGGCGCAGCATCCTCAGCTTGACGGGCAGGCCCACTCCTCTGTCCTGGAGACTCGGCCAGTCCAGCCCTCGGCTCCAAGCAGGAGACGCCCCCTCCATGGGCAACGGGTACCCGCCTCGAGCCAACGCCAGCCGGTTCATCAACACCGAGTCGGGCCGCTACGTGTACCCTGCCCCTCTGAGGAGGCAGCTGGCGTCCAGGGGCAGCAGCGTGTGCCACGTGGACGTCTCTGACAAGGCCGGAGACGAGATGGACCTGGAGGGCCTCAGCGTGGACGCCCCCGGCTACATGAGCGATGGGGACGTCCTGAGCAAGAACATCCGGACGGACGACATCACCAGCGGGTGAGTCCTTGGGGTTTCTCTCTTCACGGAGCGGGAGAAGGCTTGGCACCTAGTGTGTGTTTGTTTATTTGTGTTGGCAGCACTTTAAGTTCTCTGGAGCCCATCAAACTGCCTACTTCGCTTTCTGCGGTCCACGTCCAAGGCTGTGTGGTGCAGAGGGGAACCTTCTGGGAAGAATCGCGTGACTTGGGCCGTGGTCCAGGCTTGGCAGTCCTCACTGGGAGGCTCTAGCAAGGCTCCACCTGCAGCCAGAGAGACACTTGACAACAAACCACACGGTGTCAGTTCTTTAATCAAAACCTGGCACTCAGGGTGGGGTCCAGCCTCCTCAGCATGGCCTACCTGGTCCTACGGGATCTGGCTCTTACCTGACTCTTAGATCACACGGTTCTCCACCTTCCCCATCCCCTGCTTCCCCTGCTGTAGCTGTTCCTTCCAGTCCTCAGTCTCATCAAGCTCTTTCCTGCCACAGTGCCTTTGCACCCTCTGTTTCTCTGCCTGGATTCAGTTCCCCACATCTTTGCATGGTCGGTTCCTTCTTGTTGCTCAACGGTTATCTCTTTGCAGGAGCCCACCTGGGCCATTCAACTTGAAGTAGTTTATGTAGCTTTGCCCCTTACCCTGTCCTCTCCATCACCCTGTCTTATGTTCCTCTGAAACCTTATCACTGTTTCAAATTACCCTGATTATTTGTTTAGATTTTATGGTCTCCCCATCCCCTCCTGCTCGCAATAATAAGCTCCAGGAAGCAAGGACATTGTCTGGCTTGTGCACTGCCAAATGCACAGTGCATTATACATCTGGGAGCTTATAGATATAGCTGAATTGAAGAGCACATGGATTCATGGGCGACAGAACAAACCCAACCTCTCTGTAATGAGCTGCTTGCTGCCTGAGCCGCGCTGTGACCATGTGCAGTCCTAGGCCTCCCTCTTGTTCTTGGCTCTACTCCTCGATCGCTGTGTGAACCAAAGATGCATCTGTGTATTCCACTTGCCTGAGACTTAATCTGTTCCCCTCACTTGCACAGAAGTTTTCCAAGATCTTTCCCTCTTCTAGCATTCTAGCAGCCAAAATGATTGACAATAAAAATCAGGCATAACACTTGTGCCACTCATTTCCATGAACAGTGATCAAGAACCCATGGTTGAGTCAATAGTTTCATAATTGAATAATAGTTCATTCTCCCACTATGTACCAAGCCCTGTGCTAGGTGCTTTATGTATGTAACCTTCTTCTGTCTTCACAGCAATCCTTCGAGGTAGGAGATAACACAATCCCCATTTTGTGGATGAGTAAACTGAGGCTCGGGAAAGTTAATTAACTGGCCCAAGGCCCTGTAGTAGTTAAGAGGCAGATCCCAGGCCCAGCAGCTCCAGAGCCCTGCTCCTTAGCCATTGTGCCGCACCATCGTGCCCAGTATCTCATTGCTGCATTGAAATAGCACAACTGGAATTTATTTCAAAATTAATTTACTTTTGCTTAGCTCTACTGGTCTGACTAGAAATGTTCTTTGAGTTAATTAAAAGTTTAGACATAGAGGTGCTTTGGCTTTCTGCCTGTTACTTTAACAGTGGTTCTCAACCTTCTGGCCCTTTAAATACAGTTCCTCATGTTGTGACCCAACCATAAAATTATTTTCGTTGCTACTTCATAACTGTAATGTTGCTACTGTTATGAATCATAATGTAAATATCTGATATGCAGGATGGTCTTAGGCGAACCCTGTGAAAGGGTCGTTTGACCGCCAAAGGGGTCGCGACCCACAGGTTGAGAACCGCTGCTTTAGAACCATCCTGTAGTGAAAATTTGGATGACAGCAGCCACCAAACCCTTATAACCTAACACGTTTCTGCCATCTAGAATGGCTGGGAAAGTTGATGGGCTGATATGAAATGATCGCGTTAACCGTAGGGCATCATTTTGGGTTTCTAGTTTTTTGTAAACCTACAATAATCTATGCCTATTACTAAAATTAAGCTACCTGTGATTTAATCTTTTCATTATTAATTAGAAGACTTTTGGAACCCAGAATGGCCTCAAGGTTATCATTATCACATCTCACTGTCATATATGACCAAGGAGTTTTCAGGTTACTTTGCGATTTTCATATCCTGTAATAGAGTTTATTTTACTGTTGGATCTGTCTCTGACTCCCCAATAGATGGTCAGTGTTGATTTTGATGTAGTATTGACAGTTTCCACAAGGTGGCGACATTGAAGCACTCAAAGCTTGACCCTTGGTGAGAAAGTCCTAGTTTCCTTGGCTACTCAAACCAGAGCCTTCACCCCTGCTAACAGGCACGGATGTTTACCTTTCAGCTCCTGCTCTGGGAAGCTTACATTTCTTTACCAAGTGAGCTAGCTCTCAGAGCAAGTGTAGATAACAGTGCGGACGTGTAAGCAAACCACCCGATTACTGAAACTAGAGAACTCCGGTCTGGTTTTTCTTCTCGCATTCTCTTACTGTGGAAATTTACCGCCCAAAGGAAGAGAGATGGCCCAGATGGCACTTAATGCTCCTCCTGGTTGTAACCTTCCAGAACGCGAGCTAAGCATGACTCCACTCTGCGGGAATGCATGCGAGTGTTTGCTTTGGGGGCTACGTTATCAGTTTGCTTCGCATGCTGAGTCCAGGGCAAGTCATTGAATGTCCTTTGTACTCATTCCTTTTTCCTTTGATAAACATGACAGAGTTGTAGATATTGAGGAACTGGTCATTTAGCCGCTGCTTCAGAATCTGCGAAATAAGTCGTATTACCTATGCGATCGGTGTAGTGGAAAGAAAACAGCCTGAGATGTCAGACGCCGGGAGCTTAAAGCCCGCTCAGCCCCGTGTGAGCTCTGTGGCCCTGGGCACGTCACCTGCTTTGCTGCGCCTGGAAGCACTGTCGTTAACATGGTCCGTAACCTTCTACAGTTAGGTTTCTCTGTGAGGTTGCATCTGATTAATGGCAAATCTATACGAATAAAAGGGTAATATGCTAATTACACCAGGTAGACTGGACGTCTTCTAGATGTCCTTCCGGATATCCTTCTGGACAAGCCACGGTGGCAGGGCTGAGGCAGAGGTGATTAGGGGTGATCAGGCAGGCAGGCAGAGCAGTTAGGGGTGATCAGGCCGGCAGGGGAGAGTGGTTAGGAGTGATCAGGCCAGCAGGGGAGCAGTTAGAGGCATCAGGCAGGCAGGCAGAGGCGGTTAGGGGTGATCAGGCAGGCAGGCAGGTGAGTGGTTAAGAGCCAGCAGTCCCACATTGGGAGAGAGATCCCACAGGGATGAGGTCTAAACCGGCAGTCGGACATCCCCCGAGGGGTCCCGGATTGGAGAGGGTGCAGGCTGGGCTGAGGGACCCCGCTACCCCCCCCACACACACACCCTCCCACCCCCATGTTCGAATTTCGAGCACCAGGCCTATAGTATCTGATAAAGCCACAGAGTCTCAGACAGGGTCTAGGTATCTTATCAACCTCAAACAGCCAGGCACTTGGAAACAATGAAATGATTCAAGTCTTCATCCAGATATGTGTTTGGCTTAGTGGGGACAGCCTTGATGTATGAGTAATATATAAACCCCTAAGGAGGGTCTTTGAAAAGAGTTCTTGTAAAAGTTTACAGCAAGTTTATTTAGAAAGCCTGGTGTGGAAGTAAATTCTAGTTTCTGAAAACCTATGACCTTTGTTTTTAAAATAATGCCATACCTCCACTTGGGGTAACAGCTATTTTTTGTAGTTCATTGTCTCCACGGTACAGTACGCACGTACGTCTGTCTGTATCATTCAGGTCTACCCGAGGTGGGGCTGAAATGACATTAATAAGAACCTAGTGCGGAATGTGTGCGCGTGTGTGTAAATTAGCTCCCTGTGTGTGCCAGTTGTGTCTAAGTACTTTACAAGTTGCCACCTTTATTAGATCAGTAAATTGGGCTTTGGCTGTAGTGAGTGGGAAAAAGTTTAAAATAACAGATGAAGTTATTTCTTACTAAGTTTTGATCTGTGAAGTCAACCCATCTACTCATCTTCTAAGCATTCAGGGTGACATATGGTGCAGAATAAAATGAAGGGGACAGACTTAGCACCCATATGTTTGGAGAGATGATTGTTTTTCTTTTCCAAGGAGGCACTGAGCTGTATAATCTTCTAAAGTATGAATATACATCCCCTCCTGGAAAAAAAATGACCATTTACATTTAGCACTAGATAATTGTCCACGCCCCTTTGATGGCTTCCCATTGCCTGTGAGAACACATCTCAACGTCTTAACGGAACGTGGGAGGCTCTTTATGATCCTTCCCTCAGCCACCCTCTCTGCCTTTAGCCCTGGTCACATCCCTCCTCACACCCCCACACGCCCCACTGCTCTAGGCTACCTGCCATTCATTACAGAAGGCTCTTCCCTGCATTTGCAAAGCTCTGTGCCATCAGGACATGCCACTTCCTTCCTGGGATTCCTTTCCCATCAAGCCCATCGGACTGACCCTAAAATAAACACCACCTCTGTGATGTCCTCCTGACTTTCCCAGTCAGAGTTAGCTCTGCCTCGTGTGTTCCTGGTGGCTTTGGTTTACAGCCAACCTTGTGGGTGAGCCTTTCACTTTGTGTGGGAAACTGTTTGAGAGGGGCTGGACGGTGCTGAGGAAAGAGCGTGGTCTTAGAGGCAAACAGGTTGAGTTTTAGTCCTGGCTCTGCTACCTGAACTGGAACAAGTTCTTAATCTTTGGGAATTAGAGATAAGACTTGAAAAGCACCTGACAGAGTCTGAGATGCTCAAGAAATGTGCAGTGTGTGTGCACACATGTGGGTGCACGTATGTTTCCTACTCCAAACGTGTAGGTCCTAGAAGGCAAACAGTGCCCATTATTTTTCTAAACTCAGAGACTAGTACAAATGGGTATCTAATAATTATTTTGTGAATGGTCTGTTCTGCAGCCCTACCCTCACAGGACCTTGGGCTTACAGCACTTGCCACCAGCTGTGACACTCAATGGTTCTATTTGCAGAAC